TCCTCCCTCCCTCACCTCTCTCCCTCACCCTCTCTCCCTCACCCTCCCTCCTCACCCTCTCTCCCTCACCCCTCCCTCCCTCACCTCTCTCTCCCTCACCCCTCCTCACCCCTCCCTCCCTCACCCTCTCCCTCACCCCTCTCTCCCTCACCCTCCTCCCCTCACCCTCTCTCCCTCACCCCTCCTTCTCCTCACCCTCTCTCCTCACCCTCCCTCCCTCATCTCTCTCCTCACCCTCTCCTCACCCCCTCCCTCCCTCACCCTCTCTCCCTCACCCTCCCTCCTCACCCCCCTCCCTCCCTCACCCTCTCTCTCCCTCACCCTCCCTCCCTCACCCTCTCTCCTCACCCCTCCCCTCACCCTCCTCCTCACCCTCTCCCTCACCCTCTCTCCCTCAGTAATAGGGTGTTATCGACAGGATACAGCCATATGCTTCACCATGACCAACAATTAGATCCTGCCTGATATATCCCGGCCAAATATCATGTCTTTGTCGTTCCCGTCAGCACACTAAGCCAGCCCGGGGTGTTGAACAACTAAACCTTTAAGCTGTGTTTGTTTACAGTGTCCTTGTTGGGTTTTTATGTTGTCTGGTGTTTTTTGTTCGATTTATTTGTTGTTTTTGTTACACTCTTGTTATTTTGTTGTCGTCTTTGGTGATTTTGTTTAATTTTTATTTTGTTCTTCGTCACATTTGGTTTTCTGTCTTTGTTCAGGTTTTTATCTTTGTAGTTTTTGTTGATTATTGTATTCGTTTTATTGGTGTATTTGTTGAGTTTAATATTATTGTTCTTGTTGTTTCTGTTTAGGTTTAAACTGTTTTCTTGTTTTTTGTTGTTGGATTTACTGTTTTTATTGTTGTTGCTGTTATTGTTATTGTTGTTGTTGTTGATGTTCTTATTGTTAGTTTTCGACATACTAACAAGTAACACGATAGTTCCTCGTCATGCATCGACAGAGAGAGAGAGAGAGAGAGAGAGAGAGAGAGAGAGAGAGAGAGAGAGAGTCCCCAGCCCGTTAGAAGACCTACTGACACCATCCCCCAGAGAGAGAAAAACTGTCAAGAATTAGAGGAGGAGGTCCCCTGCTTGTCGCAACACCCCCAGAAAATACCCCCCAGAGAGAGACATAACTGGCAGGAGATGTAGGTGTAGGAGGAGGGCCCCTGCTTGTCGCCAACACCCCCAGAAAACACCCCCAGAGAGAGACATAACTGGCAGGAGATGTAGGTGTAGGAGGAGGTCCCCCTGCTTGTTGCAACACCCCAGAGAGAGACATAACTGGCAGGAGATGTAGGTGAGGAGGAGGGCCCCCTGCTTGTTGCAACACCCCCAGAAAACACCCCCCAGAGAGAGACATAACTGGCAGGAGATGTAGGTGTAGGAGGAGGTCCCCTGCTTGTTGCAACACCCCCAGAAAACACCCCCAGAGAGAGACATAACTGGCAGGAGATGTAGGTGTAGGAGGAGGTCCCCTGCTTGTTGAACACCCCAGAAAACACCCCCAGAGAGAGACATAACTGGCAGGAGATGTAGGTGTAGGAGGAGGTCCCCCAGTCTGTCAAAAAATGAAAACATCTCCAAAGGTTAAAAAAAAGAAAAGAGAGAATCACAGAAAGACCCCGGGAGTTGGTTCATCTTTTCCTCGATACTTGCCGCCGCTGTCACGTGTGTTAGCTTGACGACGTCCTGTGACAGAGATTCATCTATGGCTCATTTCCCGAGTGGCGTATTAGTAAAATGAGCTTTATTGTAGACCCCGAGAGACGTGAAAGGTGTGTAGAAAGTCCTGAGACCCCGTGATCGATGGGCCATTGTACGCTACACTCGGCCCAGAGTTCCTCGTCTCCGTGGTGCAGTTCGGGCGGACATCGCTCGTTTTATCTTTTAATTTCACACCCAATGCCTCGACTGAATGCGAATTTTCTCTCCATATTCATAAATTCTCTCGTTTAGCATTGGGTCGATTGGGGGAGGAAGGGAGGGAGAAGGAGAGAGGCAAGGAGGGAAGGAGGGAGGGAGGGAGGGAGGGTGGGAGGGAAGGAGGAGGGAGGGAGGTAGGGTGTCTTAAAGTCTGATAAAGAAGAAGACACAAAGACAGCAGCTAGCCAGGCTGAGGGATAACACCGCCCACGCCCACTGCACGCCCACGCTCACGCCTCACACACACACACACACACACACACACACACACACAACACACACACACACACACACACACACACACACACACACACAACACACACACACACAACACACCCACACACACACACACACACACACACACACACACACACAACACACACACACACAACACACACACACACACAACACACAACACACACACACACACACACACACACACAACACACACACACACACAACACACCCACACAACACACCTCTAAATAAAGGGTGTGTTATAATAGGTGTGAAAGATGGGAAATCTCCTGCTAATGGTCATTTGGATCATCGTTACGGCGCTACAATACCAACCACCCCCAGAAGCCTCCCCACCTCCCTTACGTCCCTTCAACACAAGACCTATTCTTCCTCTTCCCTATTATCTAAAAGAGTTGAACATCCCTCCCCCAAGCGAGCCATCACGACCCTTAACTCCCTTTAGGGCTAAGGGTGAGTCTCTCTTACCCAGGTTAAAGGGGCTAGGGAAGGGAGAAGGCAGGACGGGTTGGAAGACGTCGGTAAATAACCAATATTAATGTCAGCCTCAGGTCTTCTCTATTACTGGATTAGAAAACTCGCTGAGAGGGTAATTTTAACCCCCTCACCCCCCTCCTGCCTGCCACAGATTTCGGGGGTCCTCTCTCTGGGGGAAGGTGGGGGGACCTGTTGGGTATGTGGGGAAATGGGGTTGGAGGTTCTTATAAGGTTATTGGGGGTGGCTGGGGTGTGAGGTTCCTCGTGTTGTTTTGGTTGGGTTGAGAAGTCATGTAATTATTCATAAGTTGGGTTAATTTATCCCCTCACCTGTCCACCTCACCTGTCCATCTCACAACATCCTGTTTTCTACATACAAGATAAAATGAAGTATAACTATACCAATTTTTTGTTCAATATTTTGTTTCCACTTCTCATTCTCTTCCATGACTTCTCGCATTTGTCTTCCTCCTCTTTCAACCTCCCCCGGGGTCCCGGGTGGGTGGTACAACCATGTCGCCCCCCGGGTGAGAGGGTCGTTTAGCCACGAAGCCCACAGGGTCGGGTGGGAAAGTCGTAGGGCCACGACGACCCCCGGGGCCGGGTGAGAGGACCACAACGCCCCCGGGGCCGGGTGGGAGGGTCACGACGCCCCCCGGGGCCGGGTGGGATGGGTCACGACGCCCCCCGGGGCCGGGTGGGCCGCGGGGCGCCACAAGCGTGCAGACTTATCAGCGTCTTCTGCCTCACTGGCCACGCTCGAATATGTACGTCTTATCTCCATATGAGGGATGCCACTTGCTATTTTCCTTCCTTATGCTTGTATTTCCATTCCCTTTCACGATTCATTTGCATATTAGACAAAAATTGCGTCATAATGTTGATGTGACAGATTACAGCGGGAGAGCCAGCGGCCGCCACTGTCACCTGTATAGGAGGGAGGAACGGAACACATAAATCGTATTGTGCTAGTTGGCAACCTGCCCCTCGGCGCGTCATAATAAACTGTGAATGAAATGGTTAAGGGAGACCCAGTTTACTCCCCTAATATTACCCTCTGTCATCCTCCCTCTCCCTCTCCACCCTTCCTCCCTCCCTCTCCCACCCTCCCTCCCCTCCCTTATCGCGTCTTGGAGTTCCTTTTATATAAGATAACGTTGAGTCTTGGAGTATATAACAAGGTTAAGTGAAGGAGAGTCTTATAAGAGAAAAGTTTACTCTTGAAGGCAATATTTAAGACAGTTTAAAACATATATATCAGGTCAACATTTTTCAGATAAGGTTCAATATACATCAAGTAAATTTATATAGTCAGAAATATCTATAAGTTAGTTTATATACTTGATGTACCTTAGTATATATCCTCACGGCTTGACAAATACTGATAAAAGCATAAGAAAATATTAGGCGTTTTAAATATCATAATTTTACTGTAAAACAATCGAAACTTAGCCGCTGATGTGACGTCATGTGAGGAAAATGACGTCATTATAAACAACGTCGTGAGGAAAATGACGTCATCATAAACAACATCATGAGGAAAATGACGTCATCATAAACAAAAGCAATAAAACCCCAAAACTTAAATAAACGATAAAAAATTTCCCATTAATATTTTCTTCCAACATCATCATATAAACCAAACATACAAATGAATTAAAGCCACACATTATCAATTGAAACCAACTGATCTTAAGTAATGGAGCTGACCTTCTGCGTGCTGCCTCTACGAAGGTTCGATGGTAACTGGCAGACCTAAACGAACAACGTAATATTATACTTATATCCTTAACTTGGTTGCCAGATGTTTATTTATATGGTGTTTATGTTATGAGAAAATTTTATGTTTGATATGATGATTAAAATGACTTGATTTAGACGTGTGTGTGTGTGTGTGTGTGTGTGTGTGTGTGTGTGTGTGTGTGTGTATCAGGGGTGAGACACACGCCAAGTTATGCATTGTTTCTTTAAGTATATTACCCCCTTGCCTGGCTGTGCTCACTTCAGTGTGTGTGTGTGTGTGAAGGAGGGACCCTAACTACGACCCTATCCTTAACTACGGCCCTATCCTTAACTACGGCCCTATCCTTAACTACGGCCCTATCCCTAACTACGACCCTATCCCTAACTACGACCCTATCCCTAACTACGGCCCTATCCCTAACTACGGCCCTATCCCTAACTACGGCCCTATCCTTAACTACGGCCCTATCCTTAACTACGACCCTCACACCAAACTACAGCGATTCCCCTCCACTAGTTTAATTTACTTCTTCCAGAACTACGGGACCATGCACGTCTGATTCACACAACAGCTAACCCAACTACGTCTTTGTGTTGCAGGTGACGCCGGGGAACTGAGTGAGGATAGCAACGCCGGCAGTAGTGAGAACAGTAGCAGTGAAGACCAGGCCAGGTTACATCTGAAGAGGAAACTACAGCGGAACAGGACCTCATTCACCAACGATCAGATTGACAGCTTGGAGAAAGGTGGGTGAGGAAGGGAGGTGGATGAGGGAGGTGGTGGGTGAGGGGGGGTGGTGGGTGAGGGGGGGGTGGGTGAGGGGGGTGGTGGGTGAGGGGAGAGGTGGGTGAGGGAGAGAGGTATAGGTGAGGGAGGTGAAGGAAGCGTAATTGAGGGAAGTAGGTGAGGGGGATGAGGGTGAGAAGTGAAGGTGTTTGAGGTGAGGGGAAGGAGAAATGAAATAAAACAAATAATCAAAAGAGACAGAGGAAGATAAAGAAATGAGGAAAGAGAGAGATAAAAGAGAGGGATAAAGAGAAACAAGGAGAAGTAGAGTGTCTGCGGCTAAGGAGGACATTAACCAAATTTATGAGAACGCTGCCAGAGATTGTTAGCCTATCACCACCTCGCCCCAGGGTTAATAATAATAATAGACATCCTAACGATAAAACATCAAGTAAACATTTATATCAAGGCTCCTTTCACTCTAGTAATATCACACTTATATATATAAACCTCAATATCGGCATTTAAGAAACATATAACATTACTTCTTGCTAAGATAACATCAACACAGAGATAGATAGAAAGTTATTAAGGAATGAGCCATTTTTAAACACTTCGCCTCGTCTACAGAGTTCGAGCGGACGCATTATCCAGATGTGTTCGCGAGGGAGAGACTGGCAGCCAAAATTGGTCTTCCAGAAGCTAGGATACAGGTACAGTCTCTTAGAAATAAAGTATATGTCTTATTTATTTTATTTATTTTGTTTATTAATCGTATAATATATAATTAAGTACACTATTTACATTTTATTTAAGTTAGTGGTGAATCTTTCCTCTAAGTGATCTGTTTTCTATGATAGGTTTGGTTCAGTAATCGACGAGCAAAATGGCGACGTGAGGAGAAACTACGAAATCAGCGGAGGGCGGCCGAGGGTGTAGCGCCATCCTCCCCTACAAGAATTATCAACAACCTCTTCACGCCCACACCCATGTACACGCCGTTACCGCCTCCGCCCATGTCCGTTGCTGATACATATGGGTAATTTATGCTTCCCTTTGTGATAGTACTAAACAAAATGCAATAAATACTTTCCAAATATTAATTTAATCTTATGCTAATGTTCACCACGTCACAGGTCGATGGCTGGGGCTGGTTTCGGTATGCCGTCAAGCGTTGGCCCTGTAGCGTCTAGTCCGAACTGCCTGCCACCCCAACAACCGCCTACCGTCGTCCACTCCGGTAGTCCAGGCGCCGGTGGAATGACCCTTACAAGAGACAACTCTCACGCCCACAATCCTTACATGAGCCGCCCCACTTATGATACCCTCTACACCCACGCCCGAGCCTCCCACCTGCCCGCCCATGTTGTATCACCCAGCCTCTCACCACCACCAGTCTCCACAAACACGCCAACACCACCCAACTCCCAGGCTGGTGAGTATCTCTTGAGTCCTCCAGGTTAAGTTTGGTTAGGTTAGCGTTAGGTTAGCGTTAGGTTAGGTTAGGTTAGGTTAGGTTAGGTTAGGTTAGGTTAGGTTGGTTAGTTTAGGTTAACATTTATATGAGGTGAACATACAGCATCTAGCTATCAGTATTGTCGTCACTTTATAGTTAGTTATAATAAAAATGTTCAGTAACTTTTGTAAGTGAATAAAATTGTGAATTAGATCAAGAATAAATATACAGATATAGATTGTTAAAACTCTTCAATTATGATAATTTTTGTTTGATTCTCTGTTTTTAATTCAAGTTTTTGGTTCATGTGGTAAAAGGTGTACCATTTTCAGGTCTGTTGTCTCCCGGTGTGTCTGTACCGGTAGCTGTACCGGGCCAACACCACGACATGAACACCCAGTACTGGACCCGTCTTCAGTAACTGGGAGTGACCACCAGGGAGCCAACACAGGGATGAGAACTCTTCACAAGTGGCAGGGTAGTGAGGCTGACCACTCCTCCACACTGCACTGGAGTCAACACTTAGGTGGAATCTTTATCACAACAAGATCCTGAAACATTAATTAAGGAAAGGATTTTAATATGAACATCCAGTGTGGGAAGTGTTGGCAGGATTTCCCCGGTGCCACCAAGTGATGGAAAATGCCCACGGAGTGAACAGAACTTAGTGGGTGTATCTGCAGTAATTACTCCTGGTAGCAAGAGACTCGCCACTGACGCAGCTTCTATATTAACACTGTCTCGCCAACGCAGTGCTGCTTGTGATGCCTGAGGTTGATTTTCTTCACGTATATTCATAATACATTCAGTCTTTTTCAACTTACTGTGGCCGCCATGATTGTTATGGTTGTGACGCCATGATGGATGGTTATACACAGGTACACAGTCCCTCACAACATACACTGTCATGGTCGACTGCAGTACAAAGCCTTCCCATACAATTGACTGAAGAAAAAAAATATATATTTTTTAAATTTCATTATATATATTGTATTTCGGTGAATATTTACTAGTCTCAAGGTTCTTATAATGATACATTTTAGTCATGTTTATTTTTTAAATTTATCTAAAACAAATTATTTACATTTAGAATTTAGATTTATTTTATGAGACGAAATTTGCTGTTGAATGTGTGACTACTGAAGGTTGAAGAGCTGTATGACCGCTGCTACAACACCCAGTCCCTCACCTGAGACACTGAGAAACAAAACAGTGATAACAAAAACATATTACTCAAATTAAAGGAGTTACAGTGAATAAATTACAGTGAATCATTTACAGTGAATAAATTACAGTGAATCATTTACAGTGAATAAATTATAGTGAATAAATTACAGTGAATCTGTTACGGTGAATCAGTTACAATCCCTTGAAGAGAAATTATTTACCAAAACCAATCACTAGAACAATATATTACTCCTGTGAAGACCAAATCAGTGTCCTGGACCCCCAGCCTCGTGAACTTAACAACAAAGTTATCACGCATAACGGCATACTATCTTTTCCTTAACCTGTAAGTGCCATTTTACAAAGTAGACATTCACACACCAGCATAAACCAACCAGTGAATGACAATAACAAAAATAACCTTATACAATATGACCTCGATAATGCAGAGAGTATAGTGTCATCACCCTGGGTCTCGTAATGTTGATTAAGATCGACGAACGTTATGTATTACTCCGCCAACCTTGACTACAATATCAGGGTATAAACGGAATCGAATGGATATTTTGTACATGGATGACTAATAAGACTTAGGTGTACTGTACATAATTACTGATCTTTTATAAATGAAAAAAAAAAGTAATGAATAATCTGGTACTTGTTTATTTACTTTTTTTTCACCGTGTGTATATTTGAGTTAGGATTAAGTGGCATCTTTTGTTGTGGACTTTTAATCAATTGTTTGTGGGGGATTTATAGTCAGGCTCCTTAGTGAAGTGAGTAAGGAGGGGAACATTTATATTTCGTCCCGCTGTGAGTGATCAGTGACGCTATTTAACACAGGATATCTTTCTTATATAATTTTCTCATTGTATACTGTAATATTTTTTTTTCCAATGCACAAAACTAATGCGCTTTCATTTCCATAATGAATGGAGGAGAGATGAGCAGTTTGAGGACTAATTCATAGTGGGTTACAATGTTATAGGGTGGAAATATTACTCTGGTTATAACACCTATAATCAATACGGAGTTATGATTTAGTACTCAAGTTCATTCATCACTTCACTCTCTCTCTCTGACATGCTTCTGTCTACTGACATTTAAAAGACATGTTATAACGTGTAGTGGGGGGGATCATTTCATTTGCCTTAATCAAGCGGCACACCATGTTTGTATGTCACTACTGGGAGGGTTTAACACGCTTATCTTCATCAGTAGCAGGTAATTAGCAGGTGGAGGTGACAGGTGACCCACTTCCCAGGTGTGTCTCACAAAATTCCCCTTTCTGAAGTTAGTTATCACATCATATCCTCGTCTTCACTTCAGTCTTAACGTCACAACATCTGTCAGGTCTTCAAGTATATTATTATTATTCGTCTTATTAAGCTATTTTAATTAACCTACCTTGTGATACCTGGTTTATCTTACCTGTCTTGAATTACCTGTTACCTCCACCTGTCTAAAAAGGGGCGGATCCAGGGTGTGTCCTGGGGATTCGGACACCTTCCGCTTTTCATCAGAAAATTCCAACTTTTTCTTTAATGCAGTATTGTACTCAGGCATTTCTGTATAGTCAAAAGTAATTACTATTGACCTCAGAATATCTCTTAATATCAAGTGCACATGGCTTCAAATTGGCCTCAAAATGTCCATGTTATTGGTCAGATTTCCCCTGGGGTGGGCTACAGCCCCCCTTCCCCAAATCCCCCAGCTGGGTGGTCTTGCTGTGCTCGCCAGTTTCCCCACCCACAACTTCTTGGACCCCTATTGATATTCCTGATCCGCCCTCATGAAATTAATCACACTATTGTTATTATTATCCACCTGGGTACATAAATTATCTTATTATTTATCATTGTAAAGTACTAATTAACCTGTTGAGTATGTTGATTAACCTGTTGAGTATGTAAATTAACCTGTTATAACATCACCTGAGAACATTCAAGGTTAAGCCTCGGTATCATTTAAGTATTTATAAACTGTATATGTTATTTCCACCGTCTGTGTTTACCTCCCAGTTAAAAGGACATATCAACCCCATTTATATATTATTAAATTGTAAAAAAAAGGTTAAATTTCAAGCTTAATTTAACGAGAATGTTATTTATAGCGTTAATTTGGTTATTATGATACGTGAGGTTGTGTGTCGACTCTCCATACATCTACAACAGAGTAACGTGTTTTTTGAGAGAGTTGCTTTGTGGTATATGGACCATCGTCTGTAATAAAAGGTTTCATAAGTACGACTCTCTTTCATCAACCCTTTTATTTACGTCTACACAGCTTTTGTTGGGTGGAATTGTGTCTTTTGTTTGAGATATTGACTCTTTTATTTCATTGTTTTATTTCTAGGTTAAATACTGTGTTAATAAATCTGTTAGAATGGATTATTAAAATATTTTATACCCACGACCACATTCATACAATATCTGTGGGCTTTTGTTAAATTCTGTATTGTGATGCCGTTTAGGAATAATAGTTCCTGTTAGCCAATAGGAGACACTGTGGTAAAGGCTATGAATCTCTCTTGATTCTTATTGGTTGATGATAAATGTGATATTAATTTTGTATACGAGGTTTAGGTCTTAGTTGTTGAAGCGGTGTATAACGTCAACACTATACTGTATATTTTACTTTACAAACATAATACATAAGCTATTGTCATACTAGTCATGGATAACTTTGAACCGTTCTTGATCGTCCATCAGTGGGGGAGTGAGAGAGACGGGGAAATATAAAGTAAATTTTCCTATAGAATAAAAATAAAAATCTGTTCTCACTGTATTAAGAATAATGAGAAAAAACCTCACCGCATTTATTAATTCATGTACCGAGTGAAAATCTATAAATAATGATTATATATTAACTAAGAAATTATCATCCAGCCGTCATATAACTATCAAGGGGAGTTGGGGAGGGGTGGGGGGTGGGTGCTCATAGTTACCGGACAACAGGCAGTGAGAGTCATTACCTGTGAACGAATAGGGTAACGTCAGGTGTTGCTGGAGAAGCCGGTGTTTACTTCTGTGACGAGTGGACGAATTCGGCTTTGTTTTCGTCCCATCGAGGTTCACTGGACAGTCTATACACGGAACATAGTCTCCAGGCTCCACGTAGTACACATGTGAGTTAAAGTGACTTGTTATTTGATAAGTGTGTAAGGAAAACTGTTCTGGTATACTGGTGCATTAAACTGTCCCGTCATTATGTAGATTGTACAGCTCAGCAGACATCCATCACCACACCCCTCACAACTTACCACACCCCAGGCCTTAACCACACCCCTCACAACTTACCACACACCCCAGGCCTAAACCACACCCCAGGTCTTAACCACATCCCAGGCCTTAACCACACCCCAGGTCTTAACCACACCCCAGGCCTAACCACACCCCAGGCTCTAACCACACCCCAGGCCTTAACCACACCCCAGGCCTTAACCACACCCCCAGGCCTAACCACACCCCAGGCCTCAACCACCCAGGCCTTAACCACATCCCAGGCTCCACCACACCCCAGGCCTTAACCACACCCCAGGCCTTAACCACACCCCCAGGCCTTAACCACACCCCAGGCCTTAACCACAACCCTGCCCCTTCACCACATCCCCCGCCCTTCACCACATCCCCGCCCTTCACCACATCCCTCGCCCTTCACCACAACCCCTGCCCTTCACCACATCCCCTGCCCTTCACCACATCCCTCCTCCCCTGCCCTTCACCACAACCCCTGCCCTTCACCACAACCCCGCCCCTTCACCACAACCCCTGCCCTTCACCACAACCCCCTGCCCTTCACCACAACCACGCCCCCTTCACCACATCCCCTGCCCTTCACCACATCCCCGCCCCCACCACAACCCCGCCCTTCACCACATCCCCTGCCCTTCACCACAACCCCTGCCCTTCACCACAACCACCGCCCTTCACCACATCCCTGCCCTTCACCACAACCCCCGCCTTCACCAACCCCGCCCTTCACCACATCCCGCCTTCACCACATCCCCTGCCCTTCACCACAACCCTGCCCTTCACCACATCCCGCCCTTCACCATCCCCGCCCTTCACCACATCCCCTGCCCTTCACCACAACCCTGCCTTCACCACAACCCTGCCTTCACACACATCCTGCCCTTCACCACAACCCTGCCTCACCACATCCCCTCGCCCTTCACCACAACCCCTGCCTTCACACATCCCTGCCCTTCACCACATCCCGCCTCACCACATCCCCTGCCCTTCACCACAACCCCGCCCACCACATCCCCGCCCTTCACACCACACATCCCCGCCCTTCACCACAACCCCGCCCTTCACCACATCCCCGCCCACCACATCCCTGCCCTTCACCACAACCCTGCCCCTTCACCACAACCCTGCCCTTCACCACAACCCCACCCTTCACCACAACCCCCACCCTCACCCACATCCCCGCCCTTCACCACATCCCCGCCCTTCACCACAACCCTGCCCTTCACCACAACCCCTGCCCCTTCACCACAACCCCGCCCTTCACCACATCCCCGCCCTTCACCACATCCCCGCCCTTCACCACAACCCCGCCCTTCACCACAACCTCCCTGCCCTCACCACATCCCGCCCCTTCACCACAACCCCGCCCTTCACCATATCCCTGCCCCCTTCACCATATCCCTGCCCTTCACCACAACCCCTGCCCTTCACCACAACCCCCGCCCTTCACCACAACCCCCGCCTCCACCACAACCCTGCCTTCACCACATCCCCGCCCTTCACCACATCCCTCGCCCTTCACCACATTCCGCCCTTCACCACATCCCCGCCCTTCACCACATCCCCGCCCTTCACCACAACCCCGCCTCACCACATCCCTGCCCTTCACCACATCCCCGCCCATACCACATCCCTCGCCCTTCACCACAACCCCTGCCCTTCACCACAACCCCGCCCTTCACCACATCCCGCCCTTCACCACATCCCCGCCCTTCACCACATCCCCGCCCTTCACCACAACCCCGCCCTTCACCACAACCCCGCCCTTCACCACATCCCCGCCCTTCACCACATCCCCGCCCTTCACCACATCCTGCCCTTCACCACAACCCGCCCTTCACCACATCCCCGCCCTTCACCACATCCCCGCCCATGACCATCCCTCGCCCTTCACCACAACCCCGCCCTCACCACAACTCCCGCCCTTCACCACATCCCCGCCCTTCACCACATCCTCGCCCTCACCACATCCCCGCCCTTCACCACAACCCCTTCACCACATCCCCGGCCCTCACCACACTGATAAATATGAATGTAGATCAAGAATGTTATATGTAAAAGTTGGCAGTTGTCAATAGAGAGTCGAGTAGGAGGTTTGAGAAGATCGAGCTGCCGTGTACACTAGCCACAGAAAATATCTATAAGGTGGGGTCTGATGGATGTCACAATGAACACTACACCTGTTGTCTCGGTAGGGTTGTCAAAATCCTTCGTCCGTTGTGTCATATTATCTAACAAAAATTTCTGATTTTTTTGCTTAAGTATCTGTACAGGAGAATCGCCAGAGCATATAGTACGTGGTAACCCTAGATGGCCTGATGATGCAGCCTCCGTTAGGGATGGAGACTGAGTCCTTCCTGATAGCGTTCTTCAGGTTACGTTTGATGCCACCAGTAGCATCCAACACTTTTAAGGAAGTCTCATTGTTGGTGGTATAGCGGTAACACACGTAACTCTCACCAATATGTCAGTGGGTTCGAGTCCCAGATACTACCAAATATCACAGGTCCCCGGTTTTCCCTGTACTAGCACTCTAAGACCGCCCAAACGGCTGATAAGTGGCGATAATTATAAAATAATCATATTTAATGAGACAAATTTATAATGTAAAGAAGCAAGATCTTTTTTATTCTTTACATATCCAATAAAGTAATAAAACAAATTCAGATTTACTTACAAGTTTATTGTCAAAATTTATAAGTGTAGGATAAACAACAAAAGTATTGAGAGGTGTAGAGGAAGATTGACAAATACAAGTTCTGTTTACGAGAACGGGTAGTAAGAGTTTGTCGAACATGGACGGGAGCGAGACGATAGACCGTAGTTAATAAGAGGGAGTCAAAACGACAGAGGATATAACTGGGGGAGTTGACGAACGCTTATCAGGTAGAGGGGGAGTATATAAGATAGGTGGAGGGGGGTCGAGGGAAACACAGAGCGATTAACAATGTATATGAAAACATGAATCGTCAGGAGGTTCTTAGTGCCGCAATGTTAAGGAGGAGGGAAGGTCCTACAGGTCTTCCGTGAAGGAAAGAAAGGTTTCTATACTTCTGGAAGGAAGGAGCTACAGGTGGGGAAGCCCTCGGGAACAGGCGGTAGGTCCTGGGGATCTCCTACGTGCAGGACAGCTACCATACCGATCTCAGAGTGGAAGATCAAATGGCAGTGCATCAACCACCAGCCTGCAACACACACACACACACGTTATTATATACTCGTATATACAGTATAGCGAACAATAATAATAATAATAATAATAATAATAATAATAATAAATAATAATAATAATAATAATAAATAACTGAAGACGTAAATATGGGATATAAAACAGACCTCACAGAGGGGGCCTCACCAGGGTTGTCCGCCGTGAACCTGACGACGGTGTAGCCACCGTCAGGGATGGTGACTGAATCCTTCCTGATGGCGTCCTTTAGGTTACGTTTGATGCCTCCAGCAGCATCTAGAGCCATTACCTCCTCCACAGATGTCTCGCTGTTGTCATTAAACCGGAGAGAGACAAGACACGGTAAGAAGAGAAACAAATTAACCTGTTTTCTATGTTACTAATTAAAAAAAATGGTACAATTTATTGGGGGACCAAATAAAAAATGTCTAGAATTTTATCGCGTCGATTTTGCCATCAAGTAAGAACACAAGTCAGTTAGTATTTAAATACGGTCTTACGTTAAATAAATTATTATATATAATTAAATATACACGTTTTTGTATTATAGATCAGTGAATAATACGATAATTTTGATACTGTCAAGTCATTCACACCAAAAAAGGAGACACAAAGATTATTTGGTGATACTGACCTGCCGAGGCGCTCCATGCCCACCACATAGAAGTTGTAGCCGTGTAGGTGGTAGGGATGGTTCTCTGCTCCTATCTTACCCTCATCAATCAACACGATCTCCACTGTGTCTCCCAATGCCACCTCTAACACGTAGGTGCAGGAGCAGTAGCCTTCCTCACACGGTGGCTCCTGCAGGTTGGAAGTTAAGTAAATAATATCACATGACATAAGATATACATATTGTTACCACACCACTATCACATCTTTACCGCCATCACTACCACCAAATATTATAACTAATGAATAACTTGTTGCAGCTTTGATATAAACGTGGATATATTCCTCAGTAATCAGAACGAAGGACTTGGCGGTGGAGGGGAGACTTACCTCACCATAGAGACACATGGTAGGGTTGGGTGAATCAGGCTGAGAGAGCGGAGGTGAAAGAGGGAACAGGAAACTGATGTTATTCAGCTGTGGAGTGTTGACCTGCCACTTTTCATCCACTGCAAGAAGAGGAATTATTCACGATTAGTCTCACAAACCTATTCACCATTATACACGAAATGAATAATATCTAGAGAAAAACCAAAACACGAAAACATTGGAAAGATCGAGTGAGTGTCCAATTGTTCTCATCATAAACTTACACATACCGAACAACCTCGTTAAAAATAGATAAATTAGATTCGTTTCAACACTTTAGACCCCCATCAGCCCCTGGCCAGTCGAGCGACAAGACTATTGGTATATAGAGATGTGATTGTGAAAGGTCTCTGGTGCCAGACCTGTGTATTAAGTGTCTCCACGTATATCAGGACGAAGGCGAGCCATCATACCTGAAGAAGACCACACCGACACACCAGGTACTCTAGAAGGATTGAGTTAAGTCACTTGTCACACGAGGCAGAAATTCCATTACCGATAATCGGAAATTATTATAAATTCCACCCAAAACAGCATTTTTCACTGTTTCTGGCTTTCATAGGGGTAGTTAAATAGTACTCAATGGCCCTTAAGTACCAGCGGATTTGGGAATTAGTTCATTGTTTCATGATAGAGATTGACAGGCAGTTCATTCTTACCTCCGTCAAAAGGATAGAGTTCAGGGTTATAGAAGATCAGGTCGTTGATCTGGTTGAAGTTGAAACCGAGATAGAACTTCTTGTCGACCACCTCCTCCAAGACGGTGGGGTTGAGGGCAGTCAATTCAGCCATTGTGACCTCCTCCTCACTGTGTCCACCTGTGTTGAGGGGATTCACCACCTGGGGAACAGAGCAGAGTTAAAGGAGACTCACCATCTGGCACACATGAACTGACAGCAGTGAACCAGACATTATGTAAAGGAATCACCCTTACAAAACCCATCTTTTACAACACCTGGACGATGTAAACAACGACCAAGGATCGAGAACTCTGTTTAGGTCTTGTTTTCAGTCATATCTTGCTGGAGTTTGTTACTAGATTCCAGAAAGACGTAGTAATTAGGCATTCTAGAGGGGTTTTATATCGTGGGGAGGGAGGTTGAGAGGGGGTGGGTGGTCACGGCAACACTCACCACGCCGGGAGGGTAAGACGAGTCGTAGGAGAGGGTAGCTGTTGGGTCCTCCTCAGCGGCCCCTTCATACCTCAGCACTGCGCCCTGTACACACTCCAGCTGCCTGTAAGGAAATGAGGAGTCAGGGATCACAAATATCCGGGAGAGGTTCAGGTAAACACACACACAAACACACGTACCCATAGAACCCACTCTTAATATATTATATCAGGGTGGATATTATATTGTTTTTTGTTTATTGTATTTAGTGGATAAAAGGATCAAGGAAGAGTAGGAAGACATCTTACTCGCAGATGATGAGTCCGTTGAACCTGATCCAGTAGTTGTCAACGGGCTGATTCGCCTCTAACACCACGTCGAACCTTTCACCTGTAAGAACATCAAGTTGTGTGATGCTCAGACTGATATAAAGTATAAACGCTTGGGATGTATAGACGCTCGTAAAGTATAGACGTTTGGGATATAAACTATAGACGCTTGGGATATAAACTATAGACGCTCGTAATGTATGGATGCTTGAATACTATCGCTGAGGATTCAAAACCCCAAATACAGGATCATTGATGTTACTTTTTGATACGTGGGCCACAACTCACTGCAGGGTTACGTAACGAAGGTAAATAACCACTGTTACTTAATCAAACCCTAAATCTTGATGATACTTTGTGTTACGTGGGGTTACAGACTCACCGGAATACATCACCAGGGAGTCGGTGACGTAGGGGACGATAGGATCACCGTCAGAAGCGATGATGGTGAGTCTGTGGTCATCAACGCTCACCACCATCGGGCAATTGAGACCTTCGGTGTTGATAAGTCGTAGGCGATAGCGCTGGTTGGGGGCGACCTTCACTACTTCCAGGGGCATAGCTGGCTCGTTCTCACCCTGGCAGGAGGATAAGGGAGGGATCGTAGTGAGGGAGAGAAGAAGGTAATGTTGAGGGAGGGAATGGAGAGAAGAGGGGATGTAGTGAGGAAAAGAAGAAGGGAAAGAATCAGAGAGGAAAGGTAGGAGTTGTAGTGGGGAGGAAGGTAGGGAAAATAGTCATAGAGGAAACGTACCGTCAAGTATTTACAGTAATAAGTTAATTAGTTCTATGAGTTATTCTACGATGCAATGATTAATTATCGTTCCATATCTTAAAGTTATCGTACCATGTCTTAAAGATATCGTACCATTTCCTAAAGTTAGTGTACCATGTCTTAAAGTTATCGTACCGTGTCTCAACGTTATCGTGCCATGTCTCAAGTTATCGTACCATGTCTTAAAATTGTCGTACTGTGGTGTTATTGTACCGTGTGTATGGCGTCCACCAGAGAAGAATTAAACTCATACCTTCCACAGTCTCCCTTTGCCGTTGATAAGAATGTTATGGACGTAGTCATCGACGGTGTAGTGGTAGTGGCCGAAGTACTTGTCGTATACGGAAGTGTGGATCCAGTCGTGCATTATTATCACGTGTTCGGGGGAGTTCGTCGTACAGCTCGGCCTGTTGGTCGTCCGCCTGTCGCACCACGATGGCCCCGAACACCCCAGCAGCACGATGAAGACCTGGGAGGGAGAATGAGTGAATGACAACTTGAAATCCAAACGATACTTGTACAGGTCTTCTCATGCTGTTAATGTTGGTACTTATGAAGTCTTGAGATGCTGTGTCGTCCCTTCGTCGACTTACCTGAGTGAGAGTGCCACCAGTGAGTGCCAGGTGTGCCAGCGATGAAGTCATAGCGGAAGATGCCACCCATGATGGGGCACTGGGTGATGAAGGGGACGCCATCGAAGTACTGGTAACCTCTCATGTGTTGACCGTGCCAGTGTATGGTCTCAGTGTCCGACAGCTGCCAGTTGTATACGTCTACCACCACCCTGTCCCCTCACACACCTGTAGAGGAGTCACGTGTTAGTAAGACTCCACACCACCACCCTGTCCCTCACACACCTGTAGAGGAGTCACGTGTTAGTAAGACTCACACCACCACCCTGTCCCTCACACACCTGTAGAGGAGTCACGTGTTAGTAAGACTCCACACCACCACCCTGTCCCTCACACACCTGTAGAGGGAGTCACTGTTAGTAAGACTCACACCACCACCCTGCCCCCCTCACACACCTGTACAGGAGTCACGAGTTAGTAAGACTCCACACCACCACCCTGTCCCCTCACACACCTGTAGAGGGAGTCACGTGTTAGTAAGACCCACACCACCACCCTGTCCACCTCACACACCTGTACAAGGAGTCACGAGTTAGTAAACCCACACCACCACCCTGCCCCCTCACACACCTGTAGAGGGAGTCACTTGTAGTAAGACTCCACACCACCACCCTGTCCTCTCACACACCTGTAGATGGATTTTAATTTTTTATTTGGATCCTAACTTGCCTGTAAGTCTGGTCCTGGCAGTCGACGGTTGATGGTTAGGATGGGTACAGCGACACCGTCAGCAGACACACACTCCGGGCGGAAACAATCGGTCATGTTGATGGGACAGTCGAAACACGCGCGACTCATACTGTGGTAATCCTGTAAGTTGAACCTGTACTGGCAGGTCCTCGTATCCCCGGCCACACACTCCCTCTCACACTCATGGGCCGCCCCTGTCAGGTGAAAAATAACAGTCTTTAAGGGTCTTTATATGATGTAAGCAGTTAGTGCAATCCCACCTATGTAGATGCTCCTCTACCCTGAACGTGTAACACCATATTGTGTGGAGGTGTTAGCTATATTTAAGTATATTATTGCTATCTATTTAAGTATAAACCGACCTGTTAGCGTTGCCACAAGGAGAAGACCGAGTCCACACGCCAAGGACTTCATGTTGCTTGAGGTCGACGTGCCAGTCTCTATTTTCGACTCGTAGACCTTCCTACTCCTTGACTGTAGATGAGAGATGAATTTATTTTCTTTTATGTCTTGTATGAAGATGTCAAATGAGTATGATAAATGAGAGGGAAGGTAGGAGGAGAAGTGTCTTGGGTGAATCTTGCACACACTGGTGCACAGGTTCTGACGCAAACAGCCGCCGTCTCTGGTATATATACCCACTCCACCCCCATGAATCATGCTAGATACTGTGTGATGCACACGAGGGTGACATCAAGGACGTTCTTCTGAATTTTATTTTCTATATGGACAGCAGATGTTACACTCCCAGACGATGTCGCACTTATAACAGATGTCTTAAGGCAGGTATTCAGGTCACAAAAGACATCACACTCCCAGAAGATTTGCCTTAACTCATTTATCTAATGGCCACCCACTAGAGGTGGCCATGCCGAGGTAAGGAAGCCAGTGCCCTGTGTAGGATCCCTCCAATTTCCTTGGTAATTTTGGCAAGGGTTGTTTTGAAGCCCAGTTACGTCTACTCGTGTTGGTGGTGTGTGACATCACAAAGAGGTGTCCTGGGTTCACGTTTTTCATTCCCTTTCAAGATTTTAAAAGTTTCAATAAGATTTGCCCTATTGTGCCTTGTCTGAAATGTTGTTCGTCCTAAAGCCCTCACTCTACTTTGGTAATCGAGATGACGCAGTTCCCTTATCTAGGGTCTAGGTCCTTCTGGGGTTAGGGTTTCCATGTCTGTATACAATACTCCAGGTCGAAAAGTACTTGAGATTTGTACAGATGAAATAGCATTTTCATATATTTGTATTTGAGGGTACTATTATAATTTCAGTTTGCTTTCCTCACTGCTGCCCCCACCTGTTGGGCCGCCTTCAGTGAATGATATAACACAACACCAAGATCTTTCTCCTTGTCGACAGTGTTAGTAGCAGACTAGTTGTGTTAAGGGTTGTTGTACCTACGTGCAGAGTCCTTGTATTAAGTAATGTTAAAGAGCCTCTGCCAGTCTGGGGACCTTGTTAACAGCTCGTGCTGATTGTTGCTGACGTCATCTTGACTTGCTACCTTCCCAAATATCTTCATTTTGGGTAAATTATACTGAGTGAATTTTGGTTATTTATTCACAAAAATCCTCATAACAGTTCCTATTGATTCATCATGGTCAGTGCAGCTAAACAGTGTACATGGACAGTGCAGGTATACAAACAGTGTACATTACGTGAGACTGACATAAGTACCGGGGAGAGAGACCAGCTGAAGGAAGATAAGGCTGTATTACCCTTCTCCTCTACCACCTAACGCCTCACCCCCTCCTTCCCTACCTTCCCTCTTCCTGCTCCCTCCTTCCCTCCTCTATCCTACCTTCCCTCCTTCTCTCTTTCCCTCCCTCCATCTAACCTTATTTATCAATATATTCAACACATTCACTTTTTCAGAGTCGATAGAAAGTTGACGTGACGTATTTCCCAGCAATCTAGAATTTGTTACTTTCTTGAATTTATGGCCAATGACTTATTGAGGATATAATTCAGGGATTTGTTCATATATCTACGTAAGTTAGGTTTATGGGGTAAGTTCCTAGGTTAATACTATACGATGGTGGGATATGTGTTTATGTATATGTGTGTACAGATGGTTATAGTGTGTTTATGAACATTTCGCGTAATGTGTTTAGGAGATTGTATTCAAAGAGTTAAGTTATCGTAATCATGTTATCGTTCTCAATGGGTTAAGTTATCGTATTCAAGGGGTTAAATCATCGTAATTAAAGAGACAAACTGAGACACCATATTACATAAACTATAGACCATCTATCGTGAGTGAATCCATTATTTCCTTTTTTTTATTCCAAGGAAGACATAAATAATAATAAAAAGGAAATCTTACACTGGATGGGAACGAGTGTACACAATTATCAAAAGACGTAATATTTCGCCTTAAGAGTCAATTATTAACTTCGCATCTAGCTTGTCGTGAAGGAAAACGAAGCTTAAAAACATAAAGAAAAGTATAAATAATAAAATGAGGTCAATGGTTGTTTTGGGGCGTCATTGTGAGTCTTAGAAAAATGGGTTATCTCTCTTTTGTTGCCAGAGGTATGTACTGTCAAGGCGGTGTTGGGGGTAGTGCAATGATGAGAGTAAACACCTGTGTGGTTCATGGGGTAGAGGGAGGAGGAAGAATGTGATCTGGTGGAAGGGGGGAAGAGGATGGAGGGAAGAAGGGCGTGTAAGAAAAGAGGGAGTGATATGATGGAAGAGGGAAAGGAGGGTGTTAGAGCAAGTGGGAGGAAAACACGAGAGAGAGGGACAGTCCCACTCTCACGAAAGGAGGGAGGGGGGAGGGGGTGGTGAGAAGGGTGCCTGGGTATTCCTAATGGAGAGAGAGAGAGAAAAAAAAAAAAAAAGGGGGGTTGCTTGCAATACATCGACCCCATAAATCCACTTCATGACACAGATAATAATTTCGATAAGGGAAGAACGAAACAAATGAAAGGAGAACGACAATTAAAGGGTGAATGTACTCAGGGGTAGAATGAGAGCTAAGAGAATGGAAATACTTACTGGAAAGGAATAATTATAAGTCATAGTGATTTGTATGTGAAGAGAAGTAGAGGAGGTAGAGGGGACACTACAGCAAACTACGACACACTACAGCGAACTACGACACACTACAGCGAACTACGACACACTACAGAAACTACGACACACTACAGCGAACTACGACACACTACAGCGAACTACGACACACTACAGCAAACTACGACACACTACAGCGAACTACGACACACTACAGCGAACTACGACACACTACAGCGAACTACGACACACTACAGCAAACTACGACACACTACAGCGAACTACGACACACTACAGCGAACTACGACACACTACAGCGAACTACGACACACTACAGCAACTACGACACACTACAGCGAACTACGACACACTAAAGCGAACTACGACACACTACAGCGAACGACACACTACAGCAAACTACGACACACTACAGCGAACTACGACACACTACAGCGAACTACGACACACTACAGCGAACTACGACACACTACAGCAAACTACGACACACTATAGCGAACTACACACACTACAGCAAACTACGACACACTACAGCGAACTACGACACACTACAGCAAACTACGACACACTACAGCGAACTACGACACACTACAGCGAACTACGACACACTACAGCGAACTACGACACACTACAGCAAACTACGACACACTACAGCGAACTACGACACACTACAACAAACTATGACACACAACAGCGAACTACGACACACTACAGCGAACTACGACACACTACAGCAAACTACGCACACTACAGCAAACTACAACTTACTGCAGCATAATCATTGTCAGACAAAAATCCAATGGGCCTTCCTCATGGTGACTAGATATTCATGAGGAAGAACCGTAAATTATACTCACTACACCGGCGGGTAGGGGGAGGGAGGGTGGCAGTAGGGTTTCGTACGGGTGTTCAATTGGATGACGTCAACATGGGTGAGGCTCGCCATCGTAATTCCTTTGTTTCTCGTTTGGAAACTTCTGAAAACTGAGCACCAGATCGAAGGCAAAATAACCATATTTACCCTTGTGATGACACACACACACACACGCGCACACACATGCCTGACGGTAATATAATTGAGAAAGGAGTTAGAATTAACAACTGGGCATCCACTCTACAAACTGAATTAGTTGCCATACTCACGGTGATTAAATTCATTGAAACCACTGTTACTGACAGTCTCATCATCACTGACTCTCTATCCTCACTACTTGCCCTTGGTACCCTCGACTCAGGTTGTCACGCTCTTGTCTCTGAAGCCAGACACAAATATGCGTGCCTGTTGACCGGGGTGTCAGGGTCAAACTGTTGTGGATCCCTCTCATAGGCCTCATAAAACATGACAGAGTTGATGCCTCGCCAAACTCGCGTCTAACAAAGACACCGTTGAATACAATTTGGGTCTGTCAAAAAGAACCCTTAAAACTGTAATTAGGAAAGAACTTATTGATGAGTTTGACGCAAGTAGACAAGTGCAAACAGGCACTAGTCGATCCATAGGTTACCATGATGAGATGTATCAAGTGAAACATGTATATGGAGCAAGTAACAAGATCACTAGATTACAAGATGTTGTAACCGCTAGATTAAGGTTAGGATATAAGTACCTTTGGCAGTATGTTCTCAAGCAGATGTAAACAAAACTAATGTAAAAGTGTGTGGCCATACATATGGCCACACACTTGAACACTACGTCCTCGACTGTGTGAAGATAGAACCTTTAGGACAGGCCACACACTGTGTGTGAAATGGCACAACACTTCATCTCATGGCAAGATAGCCGACATATTAAGATTGTATCCACTTTTTTGCACTTAGTAACTATATCAATTCTCATGTACAGAACCAAATACGCAATGCTTGAATACCTCCCACGTAAATGTGAATAACAAAGTGTGAGGCCAGACATACTGCCTCACACGCCTGTATCACGCATTTGTGAATAAGTTACCCTTTATGTATAGAACTAAACAAATAATGTAAATGAAATACTGTGTAACTTTCAGTGCCATAATATCCTGACAACGGGGGTTAATTATTATGACCCTTTGTAAACCCTACTCTGTAATCGTTTTGCTCTACCGCTCACAGGATGAGTGTGGGGTGCACAATAAAGTAGCCGCTGTAAGTGGCAAAATCAAATCAAATCAGTATTTCCTGTCCTTCACTATGCCACAACAAAATTAAAACATTTCAGAATCAGGGAACTTTGTGTGTGAGAGGTAACAGAGGGTGACGTTCCCACTAGATTTCACAGGGTGTGTTGTGTTGCTGTGGGGATCGTGAGAGGGTGAGAGCACGAAGAGGGAGTGTGATGACAAGACGCAAAACTATGGTCGACATGTGTATTTGCGTGCATGTTTGTCTGTTTGTGTGTGTGGTTGCGTGTGTGTCTCTGTCTGAATCTCTGTATCTGTGTGTATTTAGTAAGAAAAATTACATACACATTTCAAAACAACTTCACTTTGTTTTTGTTCAATTGTAATTTCTTCAAACACACATTAGCGACCATTTGCTCTTTCGTCTTTAATGAAGAACGACACACAACTGACTATCCTGGGACACATCGTAAGAAAACACTAAGTTGGTAAATGTTTTGAAGTTTAGTGTAAAAATAGTTAAATTAAACATTATAGAACACAACATAGAATTTTAACACAGAAAATATATTAATTCAATAAACCAGATCTGCATTACTAAGACGTTATTGAATAAAGAGTTGAATTGTCACTGTTTCCAAGATTATGAGTTTTATATCGTTATGCTTTTGTTTTTCACTTCACATTTTATATATTAAGCATTAAATATAATACAAATAAGACAAACATATAATATTAACCATTTATTCATATCATTATCATTAGAGTCTTTATTATACAACATAAACCCAATAAACAAAGTGCCGTTTTCTTTTATACTAAGTTGCAAATCATAGAAAACGTTAAACTAGGCTACTAAGCCGAACTGAAGGGATGGAGGAAATTTTATTGGGGTAAAGGAAAGGGGGGTCCTACAGGTCAGGTGTGATGAGAGAGGGTTCCTACAGATCACGCGCGAAGGAAGGAGGTCCTACAGGTTAGGTGTGATGGAAGGGAGGTCCTATAGGTTCCTACAGGTCAGGCATGAAGGAACCACAAGTAGGGAAGCCTTGAGGGACGGGCGGCAGGTCCTCAGGTTCACCAACGTGTAGGACAGCAGCCATCCCGACCTCAGAGTGGAAAGACAAGTGGCAGTGCATCAGCCACCAACCTGAAGGAGAAACAAGCAGGTCATCTTAAGACGTGTGTGTGTGTGTGTGTGTGTGTGTGTGTGTGTGTGTGTGTTTTAATCCTCTCACTCAAGCTAGTCATTGACAAGTTCTCACCAGGTGTGTCTGCTGTGAACCTGACGATGGTGTAGCCTCCGTCAGGGATGGTGACTGAATCCTTTTTGATGGCGTCCTTCAACTTACGTCTAATGCGTCCAGCAGCATCTAGGGCCGCTACCTCAGACGCTGAAGTGATACTAAGTGATGGAGAAATTCGGATGGAATTAGTTGATAGTTTGGATGATAAAACAGCGTCATTCAGTATATGATTATTTTATATTAGCTATGATAACTAATCTTAAATAAATATTATTTTGGTGTTTGATTTAATGTTAAATTTAGTAATTAACTTTGATTTATTGTGGTAAATTTTTATTACAATGATTTATTATATTAAGTTGGGTTAGACTGATTTATTGTTAGTTTATGGTTTGGAGTCTTGCCCCTTCCTTACCCTGATGCCTCCTTTCTTACCCTGATGCCTCCCTCCCACCCCTGATGCCCCCTTCCTCTACCCTGATGCCCCCCTTCCTACCCTCCCTGATGCCTCCTTTCCCTACCTCCTGATGCCCCTTCCTTACCCTGATGCCTCCTTCCTTACCTCCTGATGCCTCTCCTTACCCTCTTCTGATGCCTCTCCTTTTCTTACCCTCCTGATGCCTCCTCCACCCTGATGCCCCCCTTCCTTACCCTGATGCCCCCTTCCTTACCCTGATGCCTCCCTTCCCTACCCTGATGCCCCCTTCCTCACCCTGATGCCTCTTTCTTACTCCTGATGCCTCCTTCCCTACCCTGATGCCCCTTCCTACCCTGATGCCTCCTTTCTACCCTGATGCCCTCCTTACCCTGATGCCCCCTTCCTACCCCTGATGCCCCCTTCCTACCCTGATGCCTCCTTCCTACCCTGATGCCCCTTCCTACCCCTGATGCCTTTCCTACCCTGATGCCCCCTTTCTACCCTGATGCCTCCTTCCTTACCCTGGTGCCCCCTTCCTTACCCTTGATGCCTCCTTCCACCCTGATGCCCCCCTTCCTACCCTCCTGATGCCCCTTTCCTACCCTGATGCCTCCTTCCTACCCTGATGCCCCCTTCCTACCCTGATGCCTCCTCTTTCTACCCCTGATGCCCCCTTTCCTTACCCTGATGCCTCCTTCCTTACCCTGATGCCCCTTCCTACCCTGCTACCCCCTTCCCCTACCCTGATGCCTCCTCCTTACCCTGATGCCTCCTTCCTTACCCTGATGCCCCTTTCTACCCTCTGATGCCCCTCCCTACTCCTGATGCCCCTTCCTACCCTGATGCCCCCCTTCCTACCCCTGATGCCTCCTTCCTTACCCTGATGCTCCCTCCTACCCTGATGCCCCTCTCCCACCCTGATGCCTCCCTTCCTACCCTGATGCCTCCTTCTACTCCTGATGCCTCCTTCCTTACCCTGATGCCCCTTCCTTACCCTGATGCCCCTTCCCTACCCTGATGCCCCCTCCCTACCCTGATGCTCCCTCCTACCCTGATGCCCCCTCTCCTTACCCTGATGCCCCTTCCCTACCCTGATGCTCCTTCCTTACCCTGATGCCCCTTCCCACCCTGATGCCCCCTTCCTACCCTGATGCCCCCTTCCTTACCCCTGATGCCCCCTTCCCTTACCCTGATGCCCCCCTCCTACCCTGATGCCTCCCTTCCTACCCCTGATGCCCCTCCCTACCCCTGATGCCCCCTCTTCCTACCCTGATGCCCCCTTCCTACCCCTGATGCCCCTTCCTACCCTGATGCCTCCCTCTCACCCTGATGCTCCCTCCTACCCTGATGCCCCCTCCTACCCTGATGCCCCCCTTCTACCCTGATGCTCCTTCCTTACCCTGATGCCCCCTTCCTACCCTGATGCCCCTTCCTACTCCTGATGCCCCTCCTACCCCTGATGCCTCCTTCTTCCCCTACCCTCTGATGCCTCCTTCCTACCCTGATGCCCCCCCTTCCCACCCCTGATGCCTCCTTCCTACCCTGATGCTCCCTTCCTACCCTGATGCCCCCTTTCTACCCTGATGCCCCCTTCCTACCCTGATGCCCCCTTTCTACCCTGATGCCTCCCTTTCTTACCCTGATGCCCCCTTCCTACCCTGATGCCCCCTTCCTCACCCTGATGCCCCCTTCTTACCCTGATGCCCCTTCCTTACCCCTGATGTCCTCCCACCCTGATGCCTCCTTCCTACCCTGATGCCCCCCTCCCACCCTGATGCCCCTCCCTACCCCTGATGCCCCTTCCTACCTCCTGATGCCCCTCCACCCTGATGCCCCCCTCCTACCCTGATGCCTCCTTCCTACCCTGATGCCCCCTTCCTTATCCTGATGCCTCCTTTCCTACCCTGATGCCCCCCTTCCTCCCTGATGCTCTCCTTTTCCCTACCCTGGTGCCCCCTTCCTACCCTGATGCCCCCTCTTCTACCCTGATGCCCCTTCCTTATCCTGATGCCCCTTCCTACCCCTGATGCCCCCTTCCTTACCCCTGATGCTCCTTCTACCCTGATGCCTCCTTCCCACCCTGATGCCTCCTTCCTTACCCTGATGCCTCCTTCCTACCCCTGATGCCCCTTTCTACCCTTCCTGATGCCCCCTTTCTACCCCTGTGCCCCCCTTTCTTTACCCTGATGCCTCCTTCCTTACCCCTGATGCCCCTTCCTTACCCTGATGCCCCTTTCTACCCTGGTGCCTCCTTCCTACCCTGATGCCTCCTTCCCTACCCTGATGCCTCCTCCCTCCCCTGGTGCGCCCCTCTCTACCCTGATGCCCCTTTCTACCCTGATGCCCCCTTCCTATCCTCCGATGCCCCTTCCTACCCCTGATGCCCCCTTTCTACCCTGGTGCCCCCCTTTCTTACCTCTGATGCCTCCCTTCCTACCCTGATGCCTCCCTTCCCCTACCCTGATGCCTCCCTTCCTACCCCCTGGTGCCCCCTTCCTACCCTGATGCCCCCTTTCTACCCTGATGCCCCTTTCCCTATCCTGATGCCCCCTTCCCTACCTCCTGATGCCCCCTTTCTCCCCTCCTGGTGCCCCCTCTACCCTGATGCCTCCTTCCTTACCCTGATGCTTCCCTACCTCCTGATGCCTCCCTTCCTACCCTGATGCCCCTTTCTACCCTGATGCCCCCTTTCACCCTCTGATGCCCCTTTCCCCTATCCTGATGCCCCTTCCCTTACCCCTCTGATTCCCCCCTTTCTACCCTGATGCCCCTTTCTACCCTGATGCCTCCTTCCCTACCCTGATGCCTCCTTCCTTACCCTGATGCCCCCTTCCTTACCCTGATGCCTCCTTCCTACCCTGGTGCCCCCTTCCTACCCCTGATGCCCCCTTTCTACCCTGATTCCCTTTCCTATCCTGATGCCCCCTTCCCCTACCCTGATGCCCCCTTTCTTACCCTGATGCCCCCCCTCTACCCCTGATGCCCCCTTTCTACCCTGATGCCTCCTTCCTACCCCTGATGCCTCCTTCCTACCCTGATGCCCCCTTCCTTACCCTGATGCCCCCTCTTCCTTACTCTGGTGCCCCTTCCTTACCCTGATGCCCCTTCCTTACCCTGATGCCTCCTTCCTACCCTGATGCCCCCTTCCTCCACCCTGATGCCCCTTCCTTACCCTGTGCCCCCCTTCCTTACCCTGATGCCCCCTTTCATACCCTTCTCCTGATGCCTCTCTTCTTATCCTGATGCCTCCTCCCTACCCTGATGCCTCCTTCCTACCCTGATGCCTCCCTCCCACCCCTGATGCTCCCTCCTTACCCTGATGCCCCCTCCTTACCCTGATGCTCCCTCTCCTTACCCTGATGCCCCCTTCCTACCCCTGATGCCTCCTTCCCTACCCTGATGCCCCTCCTTACCCTGATGCCCCTTCCTACCCTGATGCTCCCTCCCTACCCTGATGCTCCCCCTTCCCTACCTCCTGATGCCCCCTCCCACCCTGATGCCTCCTTCCTACCCTGATGCCCCCTCCCACCCTGATGCTCCCTCTCCTACCCTGATGCCCCCTCCTACCCCTGATGCCCCCCTCCTACCCCTGATGCCCCTCCTACCCTGATGCCCCCCTCCCTACCCCTGATGCCCCTCCTACCCTGATGCCCCCTCCCTACTCCTGATGCCCTCCTTACCCTGATGCTCCCTTCCTACCCTGATGCTCCCTCCTACCCTGATGCTCCCTTCCTTACCCTGATGCCTCCTACCCCTGATGCCTCCTTCCTTACCCTGATGCCCCCCTCCCCTTACCCTGATGCTCTCCCACCCTGATGCCCCTCCTTACCCTGATGCCCCTCTCCCACCCCTGATGCCCCTCCTACCCTGATGCCCCCTCCCACCCTCTGATGCCCCTCCCCACCCTGATGCCCCCTCCTACCCTGATGCCCCTCCTTACCCCTTCTGATGCCCCTTCCTACCCCTGATGCCCCCTCCTACCCTGATGCCCCCTCCCACCCTGATGCCCCTCCTACCCCTGATGCCCTCCTTACCCTGATACCCTCCCTACCCCTGATGCCTCCTACCCTGATGTCCCCTCCTACCCTGATGCCCCCTCTCCTACCCTGATGCCCTCCCACCCTGATGCCCCCTCCTACCCTGATGCCCCTCCTTACCCTGATGCCCCCTCCCTACCCTGATGCCCTCCCACCCCGATGCCCCTCCTTACCCTGATGCCCCCTCCTACCCCTGATGCCCTCCTTACCCTGATGCCCCCTCCCACCCTGATGCCCCTCCTTACCCCTGATGCCCCTCCTTACCCTGATGCCTCCTTCCTACCCTGACCCCTCCCCTACCCTGATGCCCCTCCTTACCCCTGATGCCCTCCTACCCTGATGCTCCCTCTTACCCTGATGCCCCTCCTTACCCTGATGCCCCTCCTACCCTGATGCCCCCTCCCACTCCTGATGCCCCCTCCTCCTTACCCTGATGCCCCCTCCTTACCCTGGACGTTTCACCCAGCATGACTCACCTGCCGAGGCGCCCATGGCCACCACATAAAAGTTGTAACCGTGTAGGTGAAAGGGGTGGCCTTCGTCACCTAGCTACCTCATCCACCAACACCAGCTCCACCGTCTCCCCCAGCGCCACCTCCAACACGTAGGTACAGCTGCAGAAGTCCCCATTACAGTGTATTGGCTGACGAGAATAATAAAACAAAGAAAACTAAAAGGAAATTCAATCCTTCACTTCTCGAACAAAGGAAATAATGAATGCTTTATTTCAATCCCATAAGACTACCATTGATAAAAATAAGTTATTATAATTCTAGGAGGACGTTCCATTGTATATAGTATTACAGGACACATGATAACAAGGATAAGACTGCTGACCTGGCCATAATAACAGAGGGAGGGGTGTGGGACGTCAGTTTGGGAGAGGAGGTGAGGCCGGGAGCTTGAAGGTGATGTGGTTGAACTGCGGGGTGCTTAACTTCCACTTCCGAGGCACTGTAGAGAGACCGAGAGTGTTGTACTGGCGTGAAGGAACATCTCAGTGATGATGGGGTGTATAAGGGCGGGGGTTCTATCAGTAGTAGAGCATTTGTGTGTCATCTGTGGTGTGGTGTGAGGGGCTTGGGTCATGATTCTTCAGGTGATCATCAGAATGTATCGCTTATAGTTTAGTTATTTATAAAGCATTGGACACCTTGGTCTGGGAGAGTCGTTATGTTGATGGAGCCCAAGTGACAGAGGCTGACCTTACTGAGCACTGCTGAACGTGACAAACATCTGGGCAAAACACAAAAACACTTAGCAGAAGCAGAGTTATAGTTTTTGAATTATATCATTAGCGCCGCTCGCCCAGTTTGAAAGATTCACCACAGACTTTTAAGTTAGTCTGGGCAATTATATGGTCAGGTCAGGTGTCAACTCGTCCCCTACCAACTCCTACACATTCCTGGTTGGTGGTAGAACACGCAAAACGGTCGCCTGTCATCAGTATACCACGACTATTAAGCTATATCAGTCGGTGTCAAGTTGTATTTGTCTGTGAGGCCAAATATCGTCCCTCCCTCATAAAATCATGGATCCGCCTCTGTCTGTTTGTGTCCGAGCCGTATCATTGTCAGTGGGCTTGGTTCATATATTTCCCTGAAGACGGCGTGAGTTGCTCCTCCTCCCCCGTATGCGGAGGAGGTGCAGTTTCTTGCAATATCACCTAAGCAGAGTCTTAGTGCAATCCACTATCTGAGACCTGTCCTCGGAGCCTGGAGGTGATGGCAGGTTAATGTATGGTCACAGACTCAGTGTGGACTACGGAGGTCAGTGTAAGGTTGGTACCCGGTGCGTACACTCGGATTTACGTTAGACCCGGAGTTCATGAGGACAAATACAGTGTGCTACATTCTCACTCCCCCGAGACACTCGGTTGAGGCGCCTCGTCCAGTAAGTAAGGAATTATTGTGATTATTGCCACTGAGGCGCTGTCTTATTACACATATCAGTATTCTGGATCCCACCTAGCGATGCTCAGCCGCCATCTTGTTTGTTTACATGTGTTACTGTGATTATTATTTTACCTATAACTAATCCTATCTCTGTCAGGCCACACTTGTCTTTCAGCCTTCTTACATATCAAACTAACGGTAATGCATCAGGTATATATCCTTTGTTTCTATAGATTCACTAGCACCTGTGCCTGGTTGTTGTACACAGACTTTCATTACGCCCAGACTCCTCCAGTACAAACACACACACGATATAGACACAGTAATGTTTGTCATCTTACCGGTGTTGAGGGGATAGAGGTCAGGGTTGAAGAGGTGCGTGTTGTTGACAAAGTTGAAGTTGAAGGAGAGTGTGAATTGCTTGTCGACGTCTTCCTTCAAGATGCTGGGACAGAGGGCGTCTAGTTCGACCATAGTGACCTCCTCCTTGGCAGCACCACCTGAGTTGAAAGGATTCACCACCTGGGGGAAAGAACAGGTGGGTGATCGAGCGCCTGGCTCAGATGGTACAGTAGCCACTCAATAGGATGTTTATGTATGTCATTCACTGCCCTCACACACACACACACGTCTCCAAAACACTAACATATTAACAATAAACCCCAACTATGATACCTTAAGGAATATAATGACTCGCCTAAAGGTAACACCGACCACAATACAGTACAGTACTTACAACACCTGGCGGGTAGGTGGCAGTATACGTGAGGTGAGAGGCAGGGAGGAGGTCTGGGGCTCCCTCGTACCTCATCACGGCTCCCTGCACACACTCTCTCGGTCTATTGGAGATAAAAGACTGATTTGCATACAAGGATTACCTGTAGCCTCTTAGTTTATTTCACTTGATTAAACCCCCTAATCCTACCTGAAGGGGGGGGGGGGTTACCTCCCTTTAATGTGTCTCCCTCACCTTCACTTCCCGCCCTTAATGTGTGCTTTTGTCTCCCTTTCATCTCACTCCCTTAACCCCTTCAATACGATGACTTAATCCATCGATTATGATAACATCGTACTGAAAGGTTAAGTCATCGTACTAAAGGAATTAATGTATCTTCCAGACCCCTCTCTAATGCCTCTACCCTCCAGTCCCCCCCAGCCTCTCTCCTCAGCCCTCCTCTACCCTCCAGTCCCTCCCTTAATGCCTCTCTCTCCCTCCAGTCCCTCCCTAATGCCTCTACCCTCCAGTCCCCTCCCTAAATGCCTCTCTCTACCCTCCAGTCTCCTCCCTAAATGCCTCTCTCCCCTCCAGTCCCCTCCCTTAATGCTCTCTACCCAGTCCCTCCTTAATGCCTCTTTACCCTCCAGACCCCTCCTTAATGCCTCTCTCTACCCTCCAGACCCCTCCCTAATGCCTCTACCTCCAGTCCCTCCCACCTCTCTACCCTCCAGTCCCTCCCAATGCCCTCTCTACCCTCCAGACCCTCCTAGCCTCTCCCCTCCAGTCCCTCCCATGCCTCTCTCCCCCTCCAGTCCCTCCCAAGCCCCTCTCCCCTCCAGTCCCTCCCAATGCCTTCTACCCTCCAGTCCCCCATTAATGCCTCTCTACCCTCCAGTCCCCTGCCTAATGTCTCTACCCTCCAGTCCCCTCCCAATGCCTCTCTACCCTCCAGTCCCTCCCTACGCCTCTCTCCCTCCAGTCCCTCCCCACGCCCTCTCTACCCATCCCCATATGCTCTACCCTCCAGTCCCTACCCACCTCCAGAGCCTCTCTACCTCCAGCCCCTCCCTTAATGCCTCCTCTCTACCCTCCAGTCCCCCCTTATGCCTCTCTACCCTCCAGTCCCTCCCTATGCCTCTCTACCCTCCAGCCCCTCCCTAATGTCTCTACCCTCCAGTCCCTCCCCAATGCCTCTCTCTACCCTCCAGTCCCCTGCCTTAATGTCTCTCTCTACCCTCCAGTCCCCCCCATGCCTCTCACCCTCCAGTCCCCATTAATGCCTCTCTCCCTCCAGTCCTCCCCAATGCCTCTCACCCTCCAGTCCCCCCCAATGCCTCTCTACCCTCCAGTCCCCATTAATGCCTCTCTCCCCTCAGTCCCCCCAATGCCTCTCTACCCTCCAGTCCCTCCCAATGCCCTCTCTACCTCCAGTCCCTCCCAGCCTCTACCTCAGCTCACCTCGTCCCCAACCTCTCTACCCTCCAGTCCCTCCTTAATGTCTCTCTCTACCCTCCAGTCCCCTCCCTTACTGTACTATAAACTCACACAGCTTTACATACCCACAGTCCACAAGGCCAGTAACCCTGATCCAGTAGTTATCAATGGGTTGGTCAGCCGTCAACACCACGTCGAACCTTTCACCTGGCCGGGAGAGAGAGATCCCATTCAACACTTGTATTATAAGGATGTGTTACCTTAGGCATATTGCTAGAGTAAGTCGTGAGCGTTTTCCGTCTATGCTCACTTTAACACCTTTTACAATTCGTCAAAGTCAACAAAATAGTTCGTCTTCATTGCTTCGCCTCCGAGAGATAACACAGGTGGTCTAGTTATCACAGAGAGAAGAAAATGGGACCATTAAATTGAAGACTAAAACAACATAAACTAAACTCAATTCACCTATAACTAAACAAATGTCTTACATCACCTGACCATCCCACACCAACTTATTTCACCTATAGATTTGGGAGGATGGGGTTAGGTTAGGTTAAATTATTTTAGGCTATTAATGTTAACGTAATTAATCTTCAGGTGAAATAAGCTCGGGGTGGTCAGGTGATCCTTAGTATAGTGACCGGCCATAGGTTGTGCACTTTACCTGAGTGGATAACGAGGGATTTAGCGGTGAGGGGAACGATCTCTTGGCCGTCAGTAGCGATGACAGTAAGGTAATGATCGTCGACACTGACAGTCATGGGGCAGTTGAGAGCCGCGGCGTTGATGAGACGCAGACGGTGACGTAAGCCGGGTGTTACCTTCACCACCTCCAGGGGCGTCGGCTGTGCCTCTACGCTCTCAGCCTGTTAAGTACCAGGATATGATATCCCATTAGTTCCCCCGCAGCAACTGTGGAGGCATTATTTAAGTCCTGGACGCCGTGGTGTTGTACGAGCTAAAATAGTGAGGAACGAACTTACAAAAAATGAGTTGTCTTTTCGCCTCTGTTACGAGCATGCATACACACACGTTAAGTAACTCTTATGACAGCTTAAATTGAAAACCGATCACTATGCTTGATATTGAAAGAAAATGATGCAGTTATCGCTTCATTCGTATCGTTTTCTAAGATGAATGTTCGTTTTCTTTCACAATATTATTTTCCTTAAGCCCCATAATCGCTTTGATAATTAACAACTTGTTTTTTTACGATAGTCTGTACAATTCTAAGACATCTTTCTTCTATGAAATTTTCGTCGCTAATCACATATAACTGAGATATTTAATTTCGTATTTTAATTGTTTAGTTAGGTTAGGTTAAGTCTAGTTAGGTTTCTTTTATCCAATCTATGTTTATCTGATGGGTTTTGATGTGTTTTGCATAATTTTTTGATTTCCTCCATCCTAAAACTCACGGTTCCTACTGGGGATCCCTAGATTGTCAAGAGCACAGGGTGATATCTCAATAACGAGTCATTTGCGACAGAAGTGTAGGTCAAACTCGGTTAAAACACATAAAAAACCACTGTAAATTCATCGTGTGGTATCCAAAGAGATTATGGACTTCAAGGAAAAATTTACCATTCTGTCTAGCAAGAGAAACAAATATGACAGACCTGAGCCGCGGAGTTCCTGCCCTTGCCGTTGATGAGGATGGTGGTGGCCAGGTCATCCGGTCCATTGTAGTTGTGGTCCATAAACTTTTCCAGAGCTGACTTGTGTAACCAATCTTGGAAGACGAGGACGTGGGCGGGATAGTCGATGTCATAAGCCCCGGCGTGTAGATCCTCTGCCTGTCGGACCACAAACGCCCCAAACACTCCCTCAGCGCGGTGTAGCCCTGGTTGGAGTGTTTGTTTACATGTGGTGCGTTATGGGATGTAATCGTATACAGCATCACATGTTTTAATTAGATCTTGAAATCATTTTGTGTGTCGCTGGCTGTGTCGACTTACCTGAGTGAGAGTGCCACCAGTGAGTGCCAGGTGTGCCAGCGATGAAGTCATAGCGGAAGATGCCACCCATGATGGGGCACTGGGTGATGAAGGGGACGCCATCGAAGTACTGGTAACCTCTCATGTGTTGACCGTGCCAGTGTATGGTCTCAGTGTCCGACAGCTGCCAGTTGTATACGTCTACCACCACCCTGTCCCCCTCACACACCTGTAGAGGGAGTCACGTGTTAGTACTCCACACACCACCACCCTGTCCCCTCACACACCTGTAGAGGGAGTCACGTGTTAAGACTCCACACCACCACCCCTGTCCCCCTCACACACCTGTAGAGGGAGTCACGTGTTAGTAAGACTCCACACCACCACCCTGTCCCCCCTCACACACCTGTAGAGGGAGTCACGAGTTAGTAAGACTCCACACCACCACCCTGTCCCCCTCACACACCTGTAGAGGAGTCACGTGTTAGTAAGACTCCACACCCCCACCCTGTCCCTCACACACCTGTAGAGGGAGTCACGTGTTAGTAAGACTCCACACCACCACCCTGTCCCTCACACACCTGTAGAGGGAGTCACGTGTTAGTAAGACTCCACACCACCACCCTGTCCCCTCACACACCTGTAGAGGGAGTCACGTGTTGTAAGACTCCCACACCACCACCCTGTCCCCCACACACCTGTAGAGGAGTCACGTGTTGTAAGACTCCACACCACACCCTGTCCCCTCACACACCTGTAGAGGGAGTCACGAGTTAGTAAGACTCCACACCACACCCTGTCCCCCTCACACACCTGTAGAGGAGTCACGTGTTAGTAAGACTCACACCACCACCCTGTCCCCACACACCTGTAGAGGGAGTCACGTGTTGTAAGACTCACACCACCACCCTGTCCCCTCACACACCTGTAGAGGGAGTCACGTGTTAGTAAGACTCCACACCACCACCCTGTCCCTCACACACCTGTAGAGGAGTCACGTGTTAGTAAGACTCCACACCACCACTGTCCCCCTCACACCTGTAGAGGGAGTCACGTGTTAGTAAGACTCCACACCACCACCCTGTCCCCTCACACACCTGTAGGGAGTCACGAGTTAGTAAGACTCCACACCACCACCCCGTCCCCCTCACACACCTGTAGAGGGAGTCACGTGTTAGTAAGACTCCACACCACCACCCCTGTCCCTCACACACCTGTAGAGGAGTCACGTGTTAGTAAGACTCCACACCACCACCCTGTCCCCCTCACACACCTGTAGAGGGAGTCACGTGTTAGTAAGACTCCACACCACCACCCTGTCCCCTACACACCTGTAGAGGGAGTCACGTTAGTAAGACTCCACACCACCACCCTGTCCCTCACACACCTGTAGAGGGAGTCACGAGTTAGTAAGACTCCACACCACCACCCTGTCCCCTCACACACCTGTAGAGGGAGTCACGTGTTAGTAAGACTCCACACCACCACCCTGTCCCCCCCACACACCTGTAGAGGGAGTCACGTGTTAGTAAGATACACACCACCACCCGGCCCCCTCACACACCTGTAGAGGGAGTCACGTTAGTAAGACTCCACACCACCACCCTGTCCCTCACACACCTGTAGGGAGTCACGTGTTAGTAAGACTCCACACCACCACCCTGTCCCCCTCACACACCTGTAGAGGGAGTCACGTGTTAGTAAGACTCCACACCACCACCCTGTCCCTCACACACCTGTAGAGGGAGTCACGTGTTAGTAAGACTCCACACCACCACCCTGTCCCCCCACACACCTGTAGGAGTCACGTGTTGTAAGACTCCACACCACCACCCTGTCCCCTCACACACCTGTAGAGGGAGTCACGTGTTAGTAAGACTCCACACCACCACCCTGTCCCCCCCACACACCTGTAGAGGAGTCACGTGTTAGTAAGGCTCACACCACCACCCTGTCCCCACACACCTGTAGAGGAGTCACGTGTTAGTAAGACTCCACACCACCACCCTGTCCCCCCACACACCTGTAGAGGGAGTCACGTGTTAGTAAGACTCCACACACACCCCGTCCCTCCCACACCTGTAGAGGAGTCACGTGTTAGTAAGACTCACACCACCACCCTGTCCCCCTCACACACCTGTAGAGGGAGTCACGTGTTAGTAAAATGCATTATAAAACTGTTTGCCCCCCCCCCCCTCTCTCTCTCTCTCGTATATCTACAAAGGTTCAATATTGATCAGGCCGGTTCGGCTCTTTTGTCCAATACAGTAAACAGTAGGAGCTGACCCACACGTCGTTGACGGTGTTTAGTGGAGGGAAGACACAGTCCCCACACGGGGTGCAGGTGAGGCCCAGCTGATGGCAAAGTGTACGGGGACAAGGGCGGCACAGGGACGAACGGAGGTGGCACAGAGACGAACGGAGGTGGCACAGAGACGAACGGGGGTGGTACAGGGACGAACGGAGGTGGCACAGAGACGAACGGGGTGGCACAGGGACGAACGGAGGTGGCACAGAGACGAACGGAGTGGCGACAGAGACGAACGGAGGTAGCACAGGACGAGGGCGGCACAGGGACGAACGGAGGTGGCACAGAGACGAACGGGGGTGGTACGAGACGAACGGAGGCACAGAGACGAACGGAGGTAGCACAGGACGAGGGCGGCACAGGGACGAACGGAGGTGGCACAGAGACGAACGGGGTGGCACAGAGACGAACGGGTGGCACAGACGAACGGAGGTAGCACAGGACGAACGGGGGTGGTACAGAGACGAACGGAGGTAGCACAGGGACGAGGGCGGCACAGGACGAACGGAAGTGACACAGAGACGAACGGGGTACAGGACGAGGGCGGCACAGGGACGAACGAGGGCACAGAGACGAACGGGGTGGCACAGGGACGAGGGCGGCACAGGGACGAACGGAGGTGGCACAGATACGAACGGGGTACAGGACGAACGGAAGTGGCACAGAGACGAACGGGGGTGGCACAGGGACGAGGGCGCAAGGGAAGAAAGAGGGTGGCACAGAGACGAACGGAGGTGGCACAGGGACAAGGGCGGCACAGGAACGAAAGAGGGTGGCACAGAGACGAACGGGGGTGGCACAGGGACAAGGGCGGCACAGGGATGAAAGAGGTTGGCACAGAGACGAACGGGGTAGCACAGAGACGAACGGGGTGGCACAGGGACAAGGGCGGCACAGGGACGAACGGAGGTGGCACAAAGACGAACGGGGTGGCACAGGGACGAACGAAGTGGCACAGAGACGAACGGGGGTGGCACAGGGACGAGGGCAGCACAGGGACGAAAGAGGGTGGCACAGAGACGAACGGAGGTGGCACAGGGACAAGGGCGGCACAGGAACGAAAGAGGGTGGCACAGACACGAACGGGGTGGCACAGGACAAGGGCGGCACAGGGATGAAAGAGGGTGGCACAGAGACGAACGGGGTAGCACAGAGACGAACGGGGGTGGCACAAGGACAAGGGCGGCACAGGGATGAAAGAGGGTGGCACAGAGACGAACGGGGTGGCAGGGACAAGGGCGGCACAGGAACGAAAGAGGGTGGCACAGAGACGAACGGGGTGCACAGGGACAAGGGCGGCACAGGGACGAACGGAGGTGGCACAGAGACGAACGGGGTGGCACAGGGACGAACGGAGGTGGCACAGAGACGAACGGGGGTGGTAGAGAGACGAGGGCGGCACAGGGACGAACGGAGGTGCAGAGACGAACGGCGGTGGCACAGAGACGAACGGAGGTGGCACAGAGACGAACGGGGGCGGCACAGGGACGAACGGAGGGTACAGAGACGAACGGGGGTACAGGACGAGGGCGGCACAGGACGAGGGCGGCACAGGGACGAACGGAGGTGGCACAGAGACGAACGGGGTGGCACAGGGACGAGGGCGGCACAGGGACGAAAGAGGGTAGAACAGAGACGAACGGAGGGTACAGAGACGAACGGGGTGGCACGGGACGAAACGGGGTGGCACAGGGACGAACGGGGTGGCACAGAGACGAACGGGGTGGCACAGGGACAATGGCGGCACAGGGCGAAAGAGGTGGCACAGGACGAGGGCGGCACAGGGACGAACGGGGTGGCACGGGGACGAACGGAGGCGGGGACGAACGAGGTGGCACAGAGACGAACGGGGTGGCACAGGGACGAGGGCGGGCACATGGACGAAAGAGGGTGGCACAGAGACGAACGGGGCGGCACAGGGACGAACGGAGGTGGCACAGAGACGAACGGGGGTGGCACAGGGACGGGGCGGCACAGGACGAAGGGGGTGGGACACAGGACAGACAGGGGCGGCACAGGGACGAACGGTGGCACAGAGACGAACGGGGTGGCACAGGGACAGACAGGGACACGGAGGTGGCACAGACAGACAAGAGACAAAGGGCGCACAGGGACGAAAGGGGTGGCACAGGACGAACGGAGGTGGCACAGAGACGAACGGGGGTGGCACAGGGACGAACGGGGGTGGCACAGGGACGAGGGCGGCACAAGGTCAATCAATGGTGACACAGGGAGGCACAGTAACGAATGGTAAAGACTTTCGGATAGTTACAACAGGTTCGTGAGGTTACAGGGAGTCGTGGTGTAGAGGGACCCAGAGTGAGGGAGAAAGATGTTAAATGAAACGATGACAGAGTATGTTAGATAACTGGGGCATCTTAATAGGACTCATATACAGATGGTGGACGTACTTACATGAATAGCTGGTCCTGGGAGCTGGCGGTTCACAGTGAGGAGCGGCCTACGTACACCATCTGCGGCCGCACACTCCTCCCGGGCACAGTCTTGGGGGTGATGTGGACACTGGTAGCAGGCGCGGCTCACTGTGTGGTACTCCTGCACCTGGAACTTGTACATACACGTGCGGTGGTCTCCCAACGCACACGGACGCTCGCATTCATGACATACACCTGAAAGAACACAATACGAGCCGTATAACAACTTGTATATTTGTGTCCACTGTCCTGTTAACGGCTCTATATATCTCAGTTAACTTTCAGAGAGCGTCAGACACCCGCTTTAGAGAAGATAAAGTGGAGTATAAACTAACTTGTTGTGATAAGAGCCAATAAACAGACGATACCAACGAGGAACATCATAATGGAGAAGAATCCTACAATTACTATATCCAGGCTGAGGGCTTAAGAGACGAGGCGCGATAGACCCTTCTGCATGTTGAAGCCAGCGGCCACTGATGACAACACCAGCATCAAGGTGTATATGTACTGATGACGTCGGCGTTATCCAAACATTGAACCTATAAAAATCACACGAGGAGATGACTACGCACATCCAGGGTCCTCTGTCTGTTGCAATGATCTATACGAGTGGAACCTTAATGTTTACTTTGCGCCAGAAGGTTAAATCACGACGTCTTCCCAGCGAGATAGAGCCGCCATATTGTTTACCCTTGCACTGTGTACACGTTATGTAAACACGGTATATTTCCTGGTCTACCTTAAGGCTTCAACTTCATAAATGAATAAGGAAAGTCATTATTTTCCTTCTTTGGTTAACATAAGACAATTACTATGATGATAATTTTGATGGTTATATTACATGGTTCCCGCGGCGGACACCCCCCCCCCCCCAAGTTAACCCAGTTGTTAATGGGTACCTAACTTTACATTTGAGGGAAGTTACGACGGTCGAGTGTCGTACCTACAGCTGCCTCATTGTGTACAATAAAAAGGTCTTTAGTGTGTTGAACATGATAGTGGTGTGTGGGAGGTGTTTGACAAGAGGTAAGATCAGGGCTTAAGGTTAATATTAGATCAGTGATAACATCTAGTACAGTACGGTAGAGCTCACCTGTTCTACCTGTTATCACCGCGGCCACAGAGAACTCTCCAAACATAACACACACAAACAACTCGTACGAATAATGACGTACTTACGAACACCGACAATGACGCAAGATCTAACAATGGGTGTGTTTTCCGGTAGCCATATATGTAAAGTGTAAACACCTATTGTTGCTGACACACTGAGGGGCCGCCTATTGTGACGCCCAATGCCATGTCTCCTGCTGGGGGAGGACAGCACACACACACACACACACACACATCTACACATAACACACACTCACACTACTACTGCTACCTTGCTCTCAATCTGTGATACAATGATATGAGTTATTAAGGATCTCACCTAGGTTGGTGAGTTGTGAGGTGACTAAAGAGGCCGACACCTGACCGGCAGTGTCGTTCACAGATGTTGCACATGTGGAGGGCTACATCTAGTGAGGGAGGGGTGGCGGCAACATTCTTCCGGCGTTGGCGCTCGTCTGCCTCGTTATGAAGTCGGGCTAACTCGAAAGTATTGACACCTTCTTGTGTGGTGATCCTTCAAGCGTTACCGTGTGGAGCAATCGTTTCGGTGAGGGGGTCGATTTGGCACTTTTTCAGGTTTGTCTTAAGACTATCCTTATACCTTTTCAGTTTCCCGCCAGCGTTACGTTTACTATTCGTTAGGTGACTGTAAAGTAGCTGCTTTGGCAGTCTACTGCCGTTAATGCGGGTAACATGGCCATTGCAGCGTAGTTGTTCATAGATAATAGTTGCCTCAATGCTCCTACAGTTGGTGTCAGCAAAAATACTGGCATGTGTTCTCTTGCCTTCCCAGCGAACTCGGAGGATGGAACGTAGACTACGTTGGTGAAAGTTTTCAAGTGCATTGATGTGTCTCCTGTATGTGACCCATGTCTCGTTGCCATATTGCAGGGTGAGGAGGACCACTACTCGATATACGTGTAACTTTGTCGATAATTTCAGCTCCCTACAACTGAAGACACTGTTTCGGAGTCCGCCAAAGGATTTAGATCCGGTGCTGAATATCTTACTTTTTACTTTTTACTTTTATCCTCTTCGCTTGGGCGATCGGTCACGTCTCTGATTACTTTTCCTTTTCATTTATCTTCTTCACAAAAAGATCGGCTCGCTAGCCGCCCGGGCGATCGGTCACGTCTCTGTCACGCACTGTTGGCAAATACCGGGCATGTACCGGTCAAGTCTTGTCTTGAAAGAGCTCACACTCGGTGCCGTCACAACACTCTCTGGTAGATTGTTCCAAGAGTTTACAACCCTCACTCCGAAAAAGTTTGCCCTCGCAGTTTTATGGACTTACGGCTCCTTCAATCTTGAGCTGTGACCCCTTGTGGGGCGAGCGTCCGCCAGCTCCAAGTAAGGACACTCAACTGAGTAGTGCCCCCTGAGATGCTTATACACCTCAACTAGGTCCTCCCTTGCCCGTCTGTAGTATAAGCTAGGCAAGTTCAGGCGCTCCAATCTCTCAGGGTAGCTGAGGTGCCGAAGTGCAGGCACCAGTTCTGGTGGCCCTCTGAACATTTTCAACCAACTGACACTCCCAAGCATATCTCGGGGACCAGACGGGGTGACAGTACTCCAGATGGGGAAGCACTTCACTCCTGAAGATCGTTACGAAGGACGGACCGTCTAGATATCTGAACGACCTTCTTATAAGACCCAATAATTTATTTGCCTGATTTACCTTCTTCTCGCAATGGCCCGAGAACTTCAGCTCATTGTCAACATACACACCTAGGTCCTTTTCACATACAGTCTCAACTAGTGCAGTTTCTTCATCCCGTTGGGACATACGATACGCCTCCTTGCCGTTGGTACGCCCCAGGTGCATCCTCTTACACTTCGTGACATTGAATCTCAGCAGCCATTCCTTCGACCATTCCTGGAGCCCACAGAGGTCCTTCTGCAGCTCTTCACAGTCCGCTTGGTTCTTAATTTCCCGAAATAACTTGGCGTCATCGGCAAACATTTGTATGGAGGAGTGTACAACGTCAGGCATGTCATTTCATCGATGTCCGTGGTGGTGGGCAGGTGGGAGCCGAGATACCAAAAGTGGGTAATATTAGAGAGGGTAGTACCGTTAAGCTGGATGGATGGTAGGAGTGTGGCTGAACCAGGGGCAGGCTGTGTGTGTGTGATTATTATCAGAACATTCAAACATGTAATGTATTTCGGCCTTATCCACCCTGAATTATATATATTTTCAAGACTGAAAGCTGAAACTTAGTCTTTATAATACTGTTTTCTACTTTTTGTGGATATCATGAAGATTAGGTCTACCTGCCCACTTGCTTTTGATGTTTTCTTAACTTATATTTTTCTACCACTTAAGTCCCTTATTTATGTTATTTCATTTACTGTACATCATGGTATTGCCTCTTCTTTTTATTTAAGGATCATCATTGTGGGTGAATAATTAAATATATAAATATATAAGCAGACAATGGTCTTATTTTTGTCTGTATATAAACCATAATCCGTAAATCATCAGTACGAGTTGGGCAAAAATACATGCATGTAGGCTATATTTATGCAATGGCTGCTAAGAATAAAAATGTAAATGTCTTATGACAGGAGTCTACGCTAAAGACAAGCTCGTTCACTAGACAACAGCACGTTTTCTATGATGACCTTAAATAGTTAAAATCAAGGAGGTTTAATGTAAGTTTAATATTGAACCTCCTTGGTTAAAATAGTTATGGTAAAAATAATTCCGTTCTCTGAATACAGCACCATGTACGTTTTCTATGGAAAGAAGCTTCTCGGGAGATGGCGCGGCAGTCAGGGGCTGAACGTTAACTGATTGTAGTACAAGTTTCTGTATATATTCCTTCCTTGGTATAACACACAATTGTGACGTCACCAGCAAGCCATTTGCATGAGTGACGCCGTGAGGGAAGGACGTGTTGTGACTGGCTCCTATGTGGTGATAAACGTGTTAGTATTTTTATATAAAGTTATTTAAACACAAGCTTATGTCGCTACTGTCCTCTGTGGTGAGTAAATTGTTGGTATTTTTAATCATAATTAAGTTGCATGTGATGTTAGAGAGTTGGTCAACCACCGCCATGGGAGTTTGTAGCAAGAAAATAATTCGTTGCCGTCGACGATTTGGTGAACTGACAAAAATTAATAGAGTTAATATTCGTTTTCGTCCTAATAGATATTTCAGATTTTTACCATTATCAGTAGGATTATTTTTTAGTTAGGAATTTATTTTCTTCTATGGCATTTCCTGGAAAAATGCATAATTTTTGTTAGGTTAGGTTAGGTTAGGGTAGTAGTTACATGGTAATAGGAGGTTAGCCTATTTTGGCATGATATATTATTTTTCTGGTGAATTTTGGTGTTTTATTGTCGATTCTAGACGCTGTTTCTTGTGGAAATGAGCCTTATTCGCGAGGGGGGGTTAAGTACCTACTACCCTAACCAAAATGCATTAGAAAAATATCTTATACCAATTGGGAAAATTGGGATAAAACGAATTTTTACCATTAATAGTGAGCTGAGTGAAAGTTTATGCCAATTACTGTTTACTGCTGTTAGGTTTAGTTAGTACCAGAAATAACTTAAGGAATAGAACCAAAATTTCAGGAGATACTATTTATAGGATACCGAACACGAAAATGGAAGTGAGAATGCACAGAACCTTTTAGAACCTGACCTAACCTAACTTTCAAACCTGTGCATTGTCGTTTAAAGTTTTGGTAATACTGCAGCAGACGGGTAACACCAGGAGGAGTTGTTTGGTTACGTTTTTTTTTTCCCATAGGAGATCTTTGGATGATGTTAAGTAATAAAACCATACAAGAACATTTCTGGTGCTACTATAGTGTGCAGTGTACAGAGATAACTAGTCTAACCTAACCCAACCAGACCTAACCTAATCTGATCTACCCAACCCAACATAACCTAACCTGACCTAATCTAACCCAACCTTACCCGACCCAACCTAATCTAACCTAACCCGACTTAACCCAACCCAAACCGATCTTCTCTAAACCTACCTGACCTGGCCTAAATATCTTGTAAACTGCATGCTATAGTCGCACCCTTTTTATTTTAATTATAAGTATTTTGTTTATTTTTTTTAGTTACACTAATACAGTAAGTCCTCGTATAATGTTGGCCCGTTTAACGTTGTTTCTGTACTACGTCGCTAATCTTTAGATACCCAAAATTCGTTTAACGTCCCGACGACTCAATATAACGTCGTTTTTGGCTCGCTACAGTACCTCTAACTCATGGAGCGTCACAGCGTCCCCAAGCGACGCCAAGCCAGTCTCTGTTAGGCTTCCACATCATTCGTGCGTGCTTAAGTGTTTTTGCTATAAATACTGTACTGTACTCTAACC